AAAAAAAAAAAAGGAAAAGAGGGCGGGGGACCCCTTTCAGCACAGCTGAGCGTTCTGCACCCGCAGCCTCCTGCAGCCTTAGTTGCTTTCCCAAAGCCAAGTCCGGTGCGATCCAAAGAGATAATCCACACCAAAAAATAAAATTTAAAAAGTTACCCTATGTTTCAGTCAGGAGTAAAAAAAAAATCCCTTCCAACTCTCAAAAAGCATCCACACGCACACACTAAAAATAATAATAAGGGGGAGAGAGGAAAGGGGAGGCCAGCAGGGCGGGGGAGTTAGGCAAACAGAAGAAGAGAGAAGAAGGGGTGGGAGAGAAGTATCAAAGTGGGTTTAAAAAAAAAAAAAAAGGTTAAAGGAGTTATTCCCCGGCAAGAGTTCAAGCACCAACAGAAGAAGGCTTGTTCCAGCTTTAAAACATCTTCAAGAAAACGTGTTCCCCCCTCTCTGCACTCCTGTGGATTCTCAGGAGTGACTAAAGTTTCAGGAGGAGAGGGTGATGTCTTGCAGATGTATTAGCGAGCAGGATTCTCACTTTTGGTAAGGAGTAAAAAAAAAACAATAAAAAAATAGGGCTTCAAGAGTAGGAAGGAGGGTGGCGTGGGTCCCCCCTTTCTCCTCTCTCTCTCTCTCTCTCTCTCTCTCTCTCTCCCTCTCTCTCTCTCCCCCTCTTCTTGCTGAGCGCCTTTTTCCTTCTCAGTTGGATCAAGAAGCTCTCTGGCACTTCAAAAGGCACAAACTGGCATGCAGAGGAGGCTTTGTAGGGAATACAAGAAAATTGGAGACCCCTGGGAGGGCAGATCTCGACTTAATAGGAGCCTGTAATTACGTGGCAAAGCCTTTGTGCGCGCCTGACGTTTTACAGACCCCCTTTCTCCATCACAATCTCCTTCTTCCTCCTTTCCCTCTGACCAAAAAAAACAGTCTGATTAAGAAAACCCCCTTTGCCAACATCAGAGCCAGAGAGAAAGGAGAGGGAAGGAGCAAGAGAGAGAGAGGGAGGGAGGAGGGAGAAAAGAGGGAGGGAAGGGAATGAGAGAGCCCCTTTGGATTTATAAAGGTCTAATTATCATTCCCCTGCAATGGTATCACGGGGAGAGAAGACAAACTGAAACCCACAGTCACTTCAAACGGGCTGATTATTTTGCTTCGGTATTAACTCCTCCAGATTTGTTTAAGATCCTGTTGGAAAATCTCATTTGCATGTTTTGATAACAACTACAGGGAAACTTGTTGGGAAAAAAATCCACGACTATCACAAATTTTCTTTTCCTTCTGTTCTTCCCCCTTTTAACGTTTTCTGTTGTTCTAATAGTCCGGCGGGAGGGGGGGAAGTTCAGAGAGAGTCAGAACGAGCGAGCGAGAGAACAAGCATATTAGTCGGCTCAGTAGAGACAGCCTATTAAAAATGTAATAAAATAACAAGAGCGATAATAATGGGAGGCTCTCCCATGCTTTTCCTGCGCACCGAATACAGATCCGGGACTAGAAGGCACCAAATCGATTGGTGGTTATCCCTGCGGTTAGGAATCTCGGGGCCAAAGGCAATAGAAAATTTAAAGATTTATTTAGTTGAAGGAAAGGACTCTAGAAGTATGTCAACCGTCCCCTCAATCCTGCCATTTTTGAAAACTTTTTGGTATGCCGAGATCGCTTCCTCTTGCGACGACACTAAGCCCAGAGGGTCCCACTGCCCAAATTCGGAGCTGACAGGAGAACGTCCGGGGCGAGCTGTACCGTTAGGCTACAGCGCTGCTCTGCGTCCGGCCAGGGTGCGGTCGGGGTTAGAGAGCGGGACGAAGGCACCCCCACCACGAAGGCACCTCCGCGGCCACGCACAAAGCTCTGTCGTCGTCTGCTGAGCCCTGAGAGAGGACAGAGAGGTGCTGAGCAGTTTTTTTTTTTTTTTCATGACCTGAATTTGGTAACAGCTTTAATAGTCTCATTAGAAATGAGTTGCTATATGACTAGTAAGTGAAATATTGCATGCTTATTTATAGCGTTTCATATTCTTTAAACACACACACACACACACACACACACACACACACACACACACTCCTTACTCCCTTGATTGCTAGATTTTTTTCCCCCTCCTATAGCCGAGAGGGTCGATTTAAGAGAAAGAAGAGTCCCAGTGTGTGTAAATGGTTTCTGGGCTCCAAACGGCATAGTTAGCCCAGAACTTCCAGCCCTGATCTGGGAAAAGAACATTTGATGCCATCAAAGGGCTGCAGATTGAAACCAGATGTGCTCGCCTCGGTTCTTTCCATGCATTTAATTAAGGAGCCAGGATGGAGGAGACTTTTTCATCATTAGTCCACCCTCTCTCCCTCCTCCTTCCACTCCCTCCCTCTCCCTGGGGGCCGCCTGTACCCCCGACCGGGAGCCCAGAGCCCCGCCAGCGCCGCTCAGTGCGCCGCGCAGGTCGCTCAGTCTCGGCAGAACCCGCTCTAGGCGATAAACATCTGTTGGCGTGCGGGCACCGCCAGTAGGACGCGCGTGGGGATGGGCCGGCGCAGAGCCGGGGCGCGCGTGCGTGTCCGGGTTGCCTTCGGCCCAGACCGCCAGCTCCGCCGCCTCCGAGAGAAGCCCTTTGCCGCGCAAGCTTCTGCCATCCACTGGGGTGGCGCGAGTGAACCTAGCGAAGGCATTTCCACCCCGCGCCCTGCCCTGTGTCCTCCGGGGAAAGGCAGAGGGGCCCTTCTCCCTCCCCTACCACGCCGCGGCGGTTTGTCCCCACGTCCCACGGCTTATCGGCCTTTCCGAGACCGGTGAAGCAGATTCTCGCTTCTCCCTCCTCTCATATTCTCCACACCCTTTACACAGTTGCATTTCTCTGCGACCGGCACCGGCACTGCCCTTTCAGACAAAGGTCTGGGTAAGGGGTCGGGACTTCTGGCATCCCGAAACAGGCTGTTTCTACCTAAGACCCAGGGACTTCCGTCAGTCGGGGGCACCTCGCCCTTTGAAGGGAGTTAACTTTGTCCCAGTGTGCAGTCGCATGGCTAGAGACCAAGGAAAAACGGGTCCTAGATGAGCACTTAGAAGCATGGCCAGACGTCTTCACTTATTTTGGCCACTTTCTTCCAAAGGGATCAGGCGCGTTTTGAAAATCGCCTACTGTTAATACCAACCAATCGTACCAATACCAGCTAGGATGCTAACGGTTTCAACAAAAACATCTGGACATACTTGCTAAACATTTGTCGACTAAATATGTTTATATATGATTTTCTATGCGCAACATTTACCCAAAATGTCTCTCGGGCTGAAAGTTCAAGTGCAAACCAACTGCGCAAGGCTTCTCCAGCCCTGGCAACGTAGCTCCAGCCTCAGCTCAAGAAGCCAGAGGCCGGGAACCCTCGCTCTAGCAAAGGGTGTGGCTTTTGAAGACTATGGGGGCACAGAATGTACTCCCAGCGCTCTGAGTTGGAATTCAAGGGCAGAGTCTTAGCGTGCTCAGGGAAAGGGACAGGTTTGCAGCCACCCAGGAAGGAAAGTCAGGCGTCAGGGTCCCCTCCCAACACTGGGTGTTTTCTGGGCATGCCATGAAGGTTGCCGGAACTCAAAAGTTTCAAGAGACCCTTCACCACTCAAGAGGCTTCTCCTTGCGGACTACCCCCATACTTCTCAGCTATAGGGTCTAAGCTGCAGTGTCCTCCTGTCCCCAATCACCCAGCACTCGGAGTCCGGCAGCCCTGTGGGCTGCATTGGACACATCCGCTAGGAAGCAAATTCTCAAGGCAAGCAGCACCCTCAAAACTGTCCCCCCACCTGTTTTTTGGGGGTGAGATCTTTGAGTGTGTGGTTTCTTTTCTTTTTCCTATGAACAATTAAAAATGTATTGGATCTGCACTAATTATGTTTACACACAACATTTAAAACTTGTTGAGATTCTGGATTGTAATTTAAAACTATCAGGACAATTCTACAGGGAAATTCAAAACAGTACATTTACCCAGTAAGGAACCAAAGGTGCATCAAATGCATTTACAGAATGGCGCCGGGCTGTCACTCTTCCCAGCACTCCCAGCTGCAGGCTGGGGAGATTCCTTCCAAAGCCCAAAGGTCACTGCGCCTATCCTTTCTACTTCCAGGCTTTAGTCAGTGCTCCTTAGAGGGGTGGACCAAAGTTCTCCAGGCTCAGGTTGCAGTTACCCAAGAGAGCCAAGTGCCTCCAGAATTCGAGAAGGAACATATGGCAGAAAGATGTCCAGAGAGGAGAAACTGTCTGACAGCACAGGCTCATCTCCCAAGCAGGCAGCAGGCCTGGTCTGGGAACTTAGAAGGCCCTAGAGAAAAGTGGCCTGCTGCTGCCCCTGTAGTTCCTTAATCACTCCTTTGCTTTCCCTATGTAACTTCCTCTTAGGAATAGTTGGAAGGAAAACATTTCTAGCTTAAAATCTTTGAACATGTGTAGGCCTTCCTTCAGATTTAGCTTTGACTTCCACCCATCAATCAATATTTATTAAAGTTTGAAGCCCTGGATGATGTAACTAACCAGAACCCTCTTCCTCAGGACCCTTCCAGCTTCTGAGAGTGGCTTTCCAACCATTCCTTCTGGTCCCGCCCCCCCTTTAGAATGATTCCCATTTGGGAATTCCTCTCCAGGTAAGTGGGAGTGAAGCTGGGACTAGGAAGAAGTTGCCAGGAGGTTCGATTCACAGCCTTGTGCCTTGGGTGGTCCTACCCAGAGGTTTGGTACTGATTACTGTCCAGGGCTTCCCTGGCACTAGAAGCTGGCAGAAGGCTGCCTCATCTGGCTAACAGAATGCCCCCACCCTCTGCTTCTCTTCTAACTAGAAGCCAGGAGCTGCACTCCCTGACATGTTAATAAGCTGACAGGTAATCACATATGACAGGCCACAGGTTACATGACACACAAAAAAGACGGTTTCTCCCCAATACAAACATGCTGTGGGTGGAAACCCTCTCTTGCTCATGGTTAAGAATCTAGTAAATATTCATTAACAATGAAACAGGAAAGAGTGAAACGCAAGATGGATTCTGCAGGTGCCCATTTTTTAAATGTTTTTGAAGAGGAGACTTTAGGCCCGACTGCTCCTTTGCCCTTCCAATTCTGGCTCTTGTAATCATAAGTGACATTTTAGAAACATTCTTCCTATATGCATGGCCAAATGTTTTCCACCCATGCCCAACTCCATCCAATAGCCATATCACATTATTTTGAATTTTTTTTTCAATACTGAAAACAAACAGGAATAATCACATTTCCAAGGAGCGAGTTCTATCACAGTATGGTAAGCCCAGTTAATTCAATTGGAACCTAATGCAGTTTCACTGCACCCATCTGCTCCTCTAACCACTGGACACTGGCTTTGCAAACACCATTGTGACAGCTTTAGCTAAAGGCCCCAGTGGCTGTATATTGGCAATGTAGTAAGTATTCCTTAGGCATTATTCCACTAAACACCTCTGCTGTAATGGACAGTGTCAAGCACTCTCTTTTCAAAATTCTCCTCCTGTACCTTATGCCCTTATTTCTTGAACCACTGCCTTTTGGCCTGCCTAGAGTAGATTTTCCCCCTTTAACTACTAATCTTCTCCAGAGTTCTGTCATCCTTACTGTCCATCACAATAAATAAGTTGTCTTTTTAGAAGATCTCATACATTTTCATGGGTTAACTAATGCTTGTTGTCAACATGTCTAAATTTTAAGTCCAAGGGTTGATTACCTATTTACTCTGTTGCTTTGGACAAAATGGAAAAGTTACCACTCTCAATTTACTCATTCAAATAAGACTAATCCTGAAACCAACAACATATATTTATGCAAATCAAGTGAAAGTGCATGCAGTCCATTTAACCCAGTGTTTAGCATATAGCAATCCTTTAAAATTAAGACAGCTACCTTCTTGCTGGATATGCACATTTATTAAACCAACTTAAACTTAACCCCCCAAACTGACAAACCATCTTCTCCCCACTCTCCTCCTCATTCTTAGTAGAAAACCAGGGAATTATCCCAAATTCCTCCCTCTTAACACCACCTCCAGCTTATCCAGCTAATCACTGGGGTCTATCTATTTTGGTCTAGCTATCACACTGCCCCTGCAACAAAATGATCAACAAGTGCTTACGAAATTGGAACTGAAGATTAAGTAATACTGGAGCAGGTGAATCAACCATACTACACGTGAGTATAGAAGTATGACATTAGGTATGCTTATGTTATATAAGCACACATCAATTAGTGGTAAAAGGATGTTGCCAAATGCCCTCAGAAGAAGTCTGAGTGTAGGTACCATACCTTCTCTGCCCAGAGGAAACCAAGCCTTACTCACCAGGTTAATTCAAATGTGCCACAAATGGCTGTTGGGAGGATTAAAAAGGAAAATAAAGGGAAGTGCTTCATCCTAGTCAGTACTCAACAGCTGTTAGTTCCCTTCCTCTGTTCTTTCCCTCACACTCAGGGGGTCCAGGTTATAGGTTCTTTTGGACTAGAAGAATATGTGGCTCAACTCTTAATAGTTCTGGAAAGGATTTTAGGAAAATCCTTTAAGGATGGGCATATGCAGGTAACTGAGAGGCTTAAAACTGGGAATGGTTCTAGGCAAGCAGCAGCACATAAAGCCACAGGGAAACAATTTCTGATCCCTCAATCCCCTGCAGGAAGAGAGTTTATTCCTGGTGGGATTTTTGTGTCTTACTCTGAGAATTAAAGAATCTGCATGCTCTCTAGATTCTTGGCCCTATAGAAGACATCTGAGTAGAGATCCCAGGCTGACATGTTAGAGATGAAGAAGGATATTTAGTAAGGACAGTAAAATCAATGTTATAGGGAGATATATTTTAACTTTGTATGTATCTATTAATGAGGCTTCCAAAAATAAACCTCAAGATTCCCAAGTTTTGGACCCTGGATCTCTGTTTATAGGCTCGGCAGAAGTAAGGTAGGATCTTACAAGACAATTATAAAATGCTTTAGGCCTGAGTAGGTTTGGCTGGTTGAACCCTGTGCGGTCTTGGGCTGACTTTACTGCTTATTTATGGCGTATCCAGTGGGTGAGCCACTCTGGATAACCTTCCTTGGCTTATTGCTCCCATAAATCTGGAGCCCAGCACAGACTACTTCTCTACCTGCTTTCCTCCCCCAAATCCTGCCACAAATCTCTAATTTTCTAAGCAGACCCCTCCCTTCCTCTCCCTGTTCTCCACTTGATAAAAATGCTAGCTCATGAGTAAGCAGCCAGGCTGGTTGTAGTTGCTTTTCTAATTACACCTGTTAGGTTAAGTACATATTTTTACCCTCCTTTTTTCCTGTTTTTCTTCTGTTAAATATACTTCCATCTGTCTTTTATCAAGTGTTGCCACACAATAAATAATAGTAACAAAATTTTGGAGACTTTTTTTCTTGTCTGCCTCAGAGGGAGGCACTGAGATAGTGCGTATGTCACTAAGTGTAAAAGGCTAGGTTGCCTTCAAGACCCTTTGTACTCTCATTACCTCCATTATCTTTTCCTACTATTTTTATCTTGCTATTTATCACCTCAAACAAGGATTTAAATAATAGAGTTGAGAAACTTGATTTTTTWAAAAATGAAATAATATATTATTTTAAATATTCTGTAGATCACAAACCTACTACTTCTATGCTCTAAGTCACTATATACCTCTCTTGTGTGGCACGTGCCTTTGTATTTTAGGAATCCACTGCCCACTCTGCAGGACAGCACAGGAACTGCCTCCCCCAGCACACACAAACTCACTGTAAACGAACTCACTGCAAACGAACTCACTGCCCACTTTATAAAAGTACAACATGATTATGCACAGTACATATACTTACTAATTGTTACTACCATACTGGTTTTCATATCTAACATGTCGCGCGCTTTTCATTGTTTCTTGGAGTATATGCCTACTTATAAACAATAAAAAAGCTTACTGTAAGGTGGTATGCTGTGCTAAACACACTGCCTCACACAGCTCATCTTGATCGCATCACGAGCCCACATCAAGTGATCTACCCCTGCCATCTAGATCTGTGTAAGTACGTGCCTGGATGTTTGCACAATGATGAATCACCTAATGTTGCACATCTCAAAAGACATCCCTGTGCTTAAGCCACACAGGACTATATAGTAATAATTTTATTAAAAACAAATAGTCTGACTATACCAATTCAAAAGCCTTAAGTGCTGTGCCACTATAGGCTGCTAGGAGAGTCAAAGAGAAGTGGAAAGCAAATAAATGAAAAGAACACTTCATGCAAGCAGTAGCAAAAAGACATTAGCATCCCATAACATAGGCTTAAAAATAAGAAGCATGTTAGAGATGAAGAAGGATATTTAGTAAGGACAATAAAATCAATGTTATAGGGAGATATATTTTAACTTTGTATCTATCAATGAGGCTTCCAAAAATAAACCTCAGAAATTGGATAAACCAAGAGGAAAAATATACAATCATAAAGGATATTTAATATGCCTATCTCCATATCAGGCAAGAAAAGAAAAACAGAAATTTGTTAAAAAGATGGATATCTCGGGGCTGGGGTTGTGGATCAGTGGTAGAGCACTTGCCTGGCATGTATGAGGCACTGGGTTTGATTCTCAGCACCACATACAAATAAATAAAATAAAGGTCCATTGACAACTAAAAAAAATATTAAAAAAAGATCGATACCTGGAAAACATTTGACCCACCTGACAAACACAGAACACTGAAGTCAATAGTGGCAGATTGTATGTTCTTCCAAACTCATAGGTGAACTTACCCACAATATTAATGACCATAGGCTGAGTCATAAACAAGTTTCTAAAGTATTGACACTAGTTAATTAAGTCATTAAGCTAGAATTCAAATGGAATTAAGCTAAGCATTAATTAAAAAAACGAATGCCTGGAAATTAAGCTGTTCAGTTCCATTAACCATTGGTCAACGAAGAAATTAAGATGTAAATTAGAAACATTGTGAACTACATGACAGTGAAAATCCCATATATTCAACTTACAGAATGCAGTTAAGTGAGTACTTAATGAGGATTTTATAGTCTTGAGATATAGTAGGAGAAAAGGACTAAAAAACTGTGATCCAAATATCCATTTCAAAAAATCTCAAAATTCTGCAGATTGAACACTAAGAAAATGGAAGAAAGAAAACAATAAAGGGAAGAGTTGAAAATTAATATTGTAGGGGAAAAAGGTATAATGGAGAACATTTGTGAAACTAAAAGTAGGTACTTCAAATAGACCAAGAGAAGCAATAAATTCTTAGAGAGTCTGAGAAAGAATAAGAGAAGAATAAATTACTGATATTGGGCAACAAGGGAACATTGATATCAGCCTGTAGATTATCCGTAACTCTTTCCCCCTTGCTTGCTCCCTCCCTCCCTCCCTCTTTCCCCTTCTGGCAGGCGGGGAGAATCCAGGGCCTTGCTCCTCAAAGGCAAGTGCTCTCTCATTGCCCCAGTCCTCAAATAAATCCTTAGAGAGGATCATCAATGATTTTATTCTAATGAATTTGAAAATTCAGAAGAAATGTGCACATAAAAATTATCAAAATTGACACAAATAATTAAAACATATATCTTTTCAAGAAATTGAATGTGTAATTTTCCCCACAAAAGACCCTCAAGCTCAGATGGCAGTAAGGGTCAATAATTCCAATGATTTAAAAAATAATAGTAACATTATAAAAACTCTGAGGAAGAATAAAGAAAGAGGAAATGCTTCTCAACTTATTTTATGAGACCAATATAATCTTTACAACAGTATCAAAAGGAGACATTACAAAAAAATGAAATCACACAAAAGTTGCAGGCTAATTTTTACAAATAGAAACATGAAACTTCTAAACAAAATACTAGCAAATCTAATAAAATTATACAAAGCCTAATACTTAACATTCTAGTTGAGTTTATTTTAGGAATGCAAGGTTGATTAAATATTCAAAAATCAGCCAATGTGATTCACCACTTTGGAATGAAAGGGAAAAATTACATGTTAATCTCAAATGATGAAATAAAAGCATGATAAAATTCTCCATTTATAAATGTATTGGAATTGGTGAGTGCATCATCCTTCATATCTTCTAACATCTCTTTGTTGTATTTTGAATGACTTCCTCAGATCTATTTTCCAATTTATTTGCTATTTCTTTAGCAAGATCTGGTCTGCTGTTCCACCCATCTATGTAATCATTTTATTTTATTGACTATCAACATTAATTGACTTTTTCATACTCTCCTGTTTTTCCCTAATGTCTTCTATTATTTCTTTTATTTTTTAATACTTTGAATATATTTACTCTCTTTAAGATTAATTTATTATCATTGTTGAACATAAAAAAAAATTTCCATTTGTGTATTCAATGACTTTTCTTCAAGGTAGCTTATTCATTTGTGATGTTTGTAATTTTTTATAAGGAATTATAAAAGCAATTGCTAAAATGGCTTTTTTAAAAATCAAATTTGACCAAAATCTAGACAAAATAACATGGAAAATAAAAGCATGGAGTGAAATAATTCTAAGGCCTTTGTGAGGAAGATAAAGAAAATGGTTAATTTTAGACTTTCTTAAATTTAGTTAAATTAAGTTGTATGTTACAAATTTGAGGTTAACCACCAAAAGAATATAAATAGAACATATAATTTCAAATCCACCAGGGGAAAATAAAAAGTTGAGAAAATACAATAAAATCAATAGAAAGAAGAAAATAAGAAAATGTGAGGGTACATAGTTAATATAAAACATTAAGCTAAGCATATCAGCACCCACAGTATTACACACAGATCAAGCTCATTATCCATAGTTAGTCAGAAAAGATTTAAAGGAAAAAATCCAGCATTGTAATACCAATGTATGACATATTTAAACCAAAATCATAACTAAAGACAGAAAAACAGGGCAGCAGAACTATTAATAAGTACACAATTTAAATAACTGTTTTAGTCATAAGATAGAATACTGTACAGCAGCTAAAAGTAAATGATTGCTCTACGTCAATATTTGTACATCTCTACACTGATTGATCTGTAGGACTAATAGCATAGTTTTTAAAAATAGCATTGAATAAAATGTGCACAAGTATATATCAGTATGGTAACATTTGTATGGTGATTTAAAAACACAAGGCAATACTGAATATTGTTCCTGGGTTTGTGGACTTGTAAAAGTTTAAAAATACAGAATT